ACATATTCATCATAGAGTTCATTAAAAGCTTCTTGTACATCATCTAAAGTATGAGAATCTTTAGAAGTGGTACATACCTCTTCCGGTGGTTCCTCGTGTGCCATGAGGCAAAGGTTGGCGCTTTCATTTTCTTCACCTTCCGATGATTCGTCGCCGGAATCACCTCCCCACGAGATGTAAGCTCGGTGCTTCTTGAACGGTTTCTTCTCCTTCTCGTTTTTGGCATTTGGGCATTTTGGCTTGATATGCCCAACTTCTCCACATCCATAGCACTTGGGTGGTCCTCCATGCTTTTTACCCTTTCGTTCATACTCCTTGCGACTGAACTTGTGGAATTTCTTGATGACAAGCCCGAACTCCGTACCTTCGTAGGTGATTTCTAGTTTATCCCTCATTTCCTTCGCGGTGGTGCAACAAGATATCTTCCGGTAGTCATCCGGGTTTACGGAACAATAGATGATATTAATGGCCTTGGCATTGTTTTCCACTTTCTTGATGTCTTGTGCATCATACTCGTTCTCGGTCTTAGGAACGTTGGTTTCCCCGACCTTCTTCATTGGCACGTCTTCACCATTCTTGATAATTCTCCAAAGGAGAAAATCCTTTGGAGAATTAAATCCTCATCCGCTCCTTCCAATAGGTGTAGTTCGTTCCGTCAAACAACGGAGGCCTTGTGGTGGATTGCCCTTCACCTAAACCTGCGTATGAACTTTGAGTAGAAGCCATTGATCGTTTCTCTCAAACGGTTAAGTCTTACAGAGAGTAAGGCTCCGATACCAATTGTTAGAATAAAGGCCCAACGCTAGAGGGGGGTGAATAGCGTTTAAAACAAAATCGCAGGAAATTAAAACGAGAGCGTTAAAGTAAAGAGCGTAAGGAAGGAACACACCGAATTTTATCCTGGTTCACCACAACGTGTGGCTAATCCAGCCTCCCGAGAGACTCTCTCGAGCTACACTAACTCCGTTAAGCTTAAGGGTGATTAACAAACCGATACAACTTGAGAACCCGAGTCACACGAGCCTCAACACCTTTGCTCGGAGATACCGCACTCCAAGACTTCTTACGAAGGAACAAGGAACTTCCTTCGAGTTTACAACAAGGGAACAACCTCCCTTAAAGTGTATGAAAACACTTAAACACTTAGGAATAAAACTCTCACAAAGAGTAGATATGAGTGAACTAGTAAACGCTCAAGAACACGACAATTTCTTCAAGACTTGGCTCTCAAATAGCTAAGAAAAATAGGAATGCTTATGCAATGAAAGAGTATTGAAATATTGAAGAATTGTGTGTAAAATGAGAGGATTTGGGTTCCATTTTATAGCCCAAAATGGGATAAAACCGTTGCTAGATTTTCCAACAGGATGAAGACAAATTTTTCAGAGTTGCAGGGTGATAATCGATTGTCTAGACATGATAATCGATTATTAAAAGATTCCCTGTCCAAAAGTTTAAAAAACTATCCGTTGGAGGACAACGGTAACCCAGATAATCGATTGTCAACAAGGGATAATCGATTATTGGTCCTCTCAGAAGATTCTGGGTTTTGGCTGCAAAGGTTGATAATCGATTATTGCAAAGCTGATAATCGATTATTGCGTGCTTCAGAACTTTGGAAGTTCAAAGCTGCAGTGGCTGATAGTCGATTGTCACTAAGGTGATAATCGATTATCACCCAGCTAAAGTCTAGCCAGCTGAAACCCGTTTTGAAAAACCGAGGTCCAAAAAAAGAAGTGTTCCCAAAAGTAAAAACAAATTTCGAAAAACATTGTATATGGTATAAAATAGTGAAAACAAGACTTGTTTGGTAAAAACCAAGTCCTCAAGGTCGTAAATCACGTGCGTACGGTTTTGACCGTTTTTCACGTGTTAGACCAATTGACCAAGATACAAAAGTGGTTTTTATAAAATAATTATTCGGGAACCTTTAAAATATGCTCAGAGATAAAAGCGAGGTTTAAAACATTGAAAACCACCGAGTTGGTTCGGGCGCCAAAAACCGAACGCCGAACACCGAGTGCCGAACACGGTACGCCGACTTAGGTGATTTTGGTTCTGAGCAAGGACCAAGGATTTTAACAAAAAAGTGTATCTAAAATGTTTATTTTGATGCATAAAAACATTTTATGATATTGTAAAATAATTTTGACTCTTTGAGAACCGAGACTTGAATTGATTATCGGTTTTGATCACAAAAGACCGACTCAACTAAGTCTTCAATTCTTGATCTTGTCCTTGAGTCTTTTTGGTCATGTTCCAAGCCATTCTTAACGCCTTGAGTTAATCAACAAAACACTTTATATCCACGGCGGTTTGGCAATTATCAAAACCTGTCAGAAATGAACACGACTTTAGTTTATCGTACAAAGTGTGTTTCAACAAAAGGAACTAGAGAGAGGGAAGGTGAGATCGAAGAGTAAACCGGGAGAGTAATTCCGGCGACCAGGCATAATCCGGCGAGCTGGACCTCGCGATCATCATCATTCATCACACAATCACTAAGCGCTCCTCCCGATCAGGCGCTGAACCCGAACAGAGGAGTCATCACGTTCGTAGAATTTGATCCTCGAACGCTGTCCATAGGTACTTCATTGTTTTTGTTTACAAATTCGAGATACAGTTTTAATGATTGAGGATTGTTTGAATTCTTGATTCATAATTGAACGTGTGATTTCGTGCTATTCAAATCTGAGTCCTAATCTCTTGTTTGGACAATATTTTCCTGTGATCATGTGTTTGAATTGTGAATCGATTATCTTGATCATGTCCCGAGAGTAATCCCTCTCTTGTCTGGTGGAAATTTAGGATCAGTTCTCAGGAATTTGTGTTCGTTGCAATGATTTGAGGTTTAGACAGTTGTTGAAGGTTGTTTAATCCTGTTTTGTGCTCAGCTTCTCAAAACTGTTGATTGTAGGTCTCATGCCTCAATTATTCAGTCTGAAATTCTTATTTGGGGTTCAACAACGGACATATAGTGTATTTGGCTGTCCAAGTATATTGTATGTTCAAATGGATTTTTATAACTGAATTCATGCTTATGTTAATTTGCATCAGGCTCAACCTGAAGTTATTAACGTAGGTACAGGTCCTTAGGCAGTGCTCATCTCTCTTAAGGACTGATTTTTGAGGTGGAGATTTAGCTCCTTGCTGAGAGAGCTAAATCTCACTTTTGTTCAACAACTTG